GATACCCGTGGTGGGCACAGTACAGATAACCCATTGCGTAACTTTGTGCTTAACTACAAACAAACAAAATCTTGTGCGATTGCATTTACCACATGCAAATAGAGCTTTCTATCTATTCCTTTGAGATAGTGGATGATGTCGTTATTCCTTATTGGCTGAAAAATCACATCTTTGCCTCTTATTATGACAACCACACCTTATCCTACCTCAACTGTCGCAGTGCATTCACCCAGATAAGAAAACAATTCAGACTTGTTGACATCATATCGCAGGAATTGTTGGCAATATCCGGGAACAATTATAGTAGTCTTGTATGATAAAATGCTTTTTGTAGAAGTTAGTTACCACTTGGCTAACAATTTTTTTTTCATATTCTAGTTTCATTACACGTTTTTTCCTTTTCCATCCACGTTGGAAGTATAAGCCTTATAAAGCTTTTTAGTTGAAGTTGTGTATTTTTCACACACAAAAAAAAAACAAAATTCATTGAAGTGTTTGTTATCTTTACATGTGAGTGTGTTTCATTTTAAAGAACAAGAATATGTACTGTATTTTTCGGGATTTTAGGATGCAACGGTGTATAAGACGCACCCTTATTTTGAAGACAAAGTTTTGGGGAAAAAAAGCTACAGTCGCATTTGAAAGATTTTTATTGAACAAAACTTCAATTTGATACTTTAAAAATTAGTATATATTGTTCTAAACAAAAAAGAGCTCAAAACATCAAAATAAGAAATTACCGTAAATCAAAAAAAGGTTTACTGTTATTTAGTTTGTTTCAAAACCTACAAAATCTTCATTGCTTTCACTGTAATTATTTTTTTATTATTATTTAGGGAGCATATTAAATATAAATTTTTTTTAAAGAAAAAACTACTATTGTTGTAAATAGCACATTCAATTGAACTAAACTATGCATGCCTATTTAAATATATTTACACATGGCTTGTGTATATCGTATATATACATATATATTATTCATACCTTCGGTGTATAGGATGCAAGCAGATTTTGACATCAAATTTTGGGGTAAAAAGTGCGTCTTATACACCGAAAAATACGATAATATGAATTACTAGTTTACATAAGAGGTTTGGGGTAAATCGTAATTGATATTCAGAATTCCCGATTTCTTGTATTTTTCCTGGAAAAGAATTTTAGGCAAGCAATCAGACACTATTACCAACGATTTATCGCATTTACGAATTCGAAGGATTCAGGAAGTATCAGTCCATGCAAAAATTAGCCAAATGGGGACCACCGAAATTGCCATAATCGCACTCAGCAGTGTCATTTTCCTCGGTGGTGTACTTGGCATTGCACTACTCTGCTCCTCATGCAAAAAAAGGTAAATAATTATCAACTTAACGTATAATCAGAAGAACCTTTGCAGTTCAAAAATACTTGGTTTTTTATTTTTAATATCTTCTAATATTAATATTTCATTCCTTGATTTATTAAAATATATGATCTTTAAGTTCATAAGTAGCTAATGTTATAGTCTTATTGTCATAAGGGTAGGTTTACTTAGGTGATGTTTAACAAATCACATCTATTTTGCAAGAAGGGTGGAAATAAATAAATAAAGTTACACTATACACACTATTATATTTTTGATCTTAAGCGTTTCTTCTTGCGTAAAACAAAATTACGTTTCAAGAGAAATTTACCGAAAATCAGGTTACTTCCGGAGTATCTAAGTAGTAAATCTTATTAGAGTGTGTTTACTATGTTAAGTACATAAAATACTTATGTTCCAAGCTAATTATTATTGATCTAAGTCATCGCTAATTGCTATAGCTAAAATATACACGTGTCACATATAACTTTTCCTCTAGTGTAAGATTTTGTGAGGTATAATATTTACTGATAGTTAGTGTTTTCTCATCCAGTCATCTAATGTGTAAAAACAGTAAATCGATTTTAAGTAATAATTCAGAATAAAATACTACCTGTTTGGAGGCTTTCACTGTCGTTTGGGTTACTCGCCCTCAAGGCATTTTTACTTAAACAAAAGAGGAGGACTGAAAATCTAATATAACTAGAAACAGAAAGTTAATGCAATTTAAGTGGTTTGTGGAACTGTATGTATATGGTTTCATCAGTACACTTGGAGCTCAAGAAAAGATTAGTTTTGGGGAACATTCCCAAATATTTAAAGTCGAGTGTAAATAAACGTTTCTTATTCCCACTTTAATTTGTGAATATTTTAATAATGCTGTAACTTTTTGTAAATGTCTAAAAATTACACAGCAAAAATTTACAAAGGATTTTATTCTTTCCAGGAAAATGAAAAAAGGGCATGCAACGTGGGAACAACAAAGACTGTATAATATTAAAAACACTTTAATGAACAAGTCTCCATACGGAGGGAGAATTTCTGATGGTTCAGCAGCTCCCCTTTCGCCTTCTTACACTGACGGTACTTCAAATACGTAGGTGTTTGGACTACAAATGCATCATTCTCATTTTTCACTATTTTGTTCAAGTATTTTACAGTAGAAATTCTTTCCTGATATTTAGATAAAACCGCTGTGAATCTGACGGTGTATACGAAACTAAATTTGAAACTGCTTTTAAGATAATAATTCTCAAATCTTATATAGAAAAATATACTTGTCAGTTTAAGTACAAAGTAGGTAAGTATGCTAAATAAATATATACTTGTGTAAAAAAAAAGTGTTGTGATCTTAAGTGTATACATAACTGCTAATAAATAGTGGCAGATTTTACCTTATGTAAGTGTTAGATGTGGATAAAAAATTATGGAGATCAAATGACATATATGATTTTGATGACGAAAGTAATTTATTTTTAGTTCTATTAAAATATATGGTTCGATACTTTCTGTAACGTTACAGTATCATATTGCGCATATACTATTTATTTCCTATTAATTTTATTGCATATTTCTGTTGAAATACGTTATGGTTTAAATTTGATGAAGTTACTGATAACTTTTGAAATTTCCAGCAAATCTCCAGATAGCGTTGGAGACCGCAGTTCCATAGAAAAAAACTATAAAGATTCACGACAACAAGTACCACCAGACGGAGCTTCGTCTCACACGCGGTCTAGAAGTCCTAGATATGATGGTTTTAACAAAAGAAATAATCAGTGGGATCTACGTAAAGATGAAAATGATTCTTTGTGAGTATATACATGCCATTTTGTGGCAAATCAGATTAAACTTTTGTTTTAAGTAAGAATTCAAAATCATTAGTTTTGCTCAGAAACTATATAAAATATAGAAAAAATATAATATTTGCAGGTCTAACCAGCAAATGCGATCACTCATGAATTAAACAGGAAATATAACTAATATTATGCTTAATATATTACTCTCGAATGATGTAAATAGGAATATCATCTTTTGATAATTTCAGCTAATATATCTATAGGGTAATTTGTATGCAACAAACAATTCGTAACTAACACATCACTTAGCGACAGACAGTTTTAGTGGTTCAGGTTTAGTTTTAGATTATGAGATCAGTTACCTATAACAAATAACTAGCTCAAACTAGCTTTAACAAGTATAAGTTTAAATCCTTTACCTATAACAGTAAAACCTCTTGCAGCTGAAATAAAAGGTTCATACCACGCTTTGTGTACCTATTATATCGGAAAACTCTTACATATATGGAACGAAATGTATTCCTCTATCTGAGGAATTTATTCATCTTAACCAGCCGAAAAGATCCTAGTGATTTGTATGCCCGGACTGCTGATCCGAGGTGCTCAGCACCTTGGGGTCGTTGATGCGTTATAAGCGTGACGATGAAATCCGAATTGGACAAATTAACAGGATTGGGGAAAAACATCTGCAGTCTACTAGATTTTTATCACAAGTTATAGATCTAGCGGTTTCTAATGCTTCGTGAGCTTTCGGCGTTTAAGCCATAAGTTTGTAAAGTGCATTTTTATTCATGATAACTTAGTGTGTTTTTTTGCACTGTTATTTACATAGTTTGCTTTCTTTTGTACTGTATTTCAGCGGAACAAGGTTTTCTCACGGCTCTGCATTCAATAGTTGGTCCTCCCGATATTCTCATACTTCTCGATCGAAGCAAGCCACAGATTTCTAACCTTGCCGAGTTTCGTCTTACGATCTAGGAACAAACAACAGAACAAGCGCCAATTGTAATTGATCTTGTCTGCAGTATGTGTGTGAGTGTGCCTTTCTGTAGAAGTATGTGGACAATGTCCGCATAATAAATACTTAACAAGTACTAACATGTGCTGAAGGCAAGAACTTCCTTTTTCGCTTACCACAAAATGCAGGTCAGAGAAACTTGGCAAACTCTTTGTGAATATATTACCTTTAGTTATCACTGTTTTTTGTTTCTCTTCTAACTAACCCTTCTCATCTTAGTAATACCATTAAGTGGAAAGTCAGTCATCTTATTCTGTATAAATGTTAACTTATTCAAATAGTTTATACAGAGAAACGATATGACACGAGGGGAACTCCAGATATTTTGGGATAATAAATGAGATTTATACATAAGTTTTGTTTTCAACCCTGCTGAACGTAAGAGAACATTTATCAGTGGTAACAGATCAGTAAACCTAACGCATATAATTCAGAATGTAATTATGTTGCTACAAAATGCAATAACTGCATATTGAGTTTTGGAGCACTGGACGTTTTCAGGGAAACTCATAATGATGATTTTATCCCCTGACTCTAACGTGAGAAAACTTCATATTTTGATTTAATTTATTGTGAGATAAAAATTAAAATTTAATTTGTAAGGTTTATGTCTGACTTCGTTGACTATTTGTATACAGTTCAAATGCACTGATATTTTGAAAGAAAAATCAAACACCTGATGCAGTTAATTATAGTAATTAAGTAATAAAGAAAGTTTTTCTTAAAACATTGATTAATGATAAAAAATAATTGTTATCTGTAATGAAAACCTCAGAACTGTAGCAGGTCATGTAGATATAGATTGGTTGGTGTTAAACACTATCACTTATCACTCTACCTTTGCATTATTGAGGTTATATAGTAAAATTAATTTATCTTGTTACTAATCAGTGTGAACATGTATTTGTTATTGTATGTTGTATCCATATGTAAATAAATGTTAAATATCATACATCTACTTCTGCATCTTTTTCTTCTTTGTGTTAATAACTTGAAAAAAAGTTTTGCTACTGAAATAAAAATCTAAGTTAAAGGCATGATAATAATGATTGTGGAAATATGTTGGACCTTATGATGTAAACTTCGAGGCTATCTACGCCACAGTAAAGCGGAATGAATACAGACTGAATACGTTATATTAAAACTAATTTGGAGCCTCCCCACCACATTACATTCCACTTAGTCACGTAAGATCATGCTCTGTATGAAGGCCATTCATCTTAACGGTAGCCGTGCAGCGTAGCTTATATTGCAAAAGGCTATGTTATAAGGCTGCCATGCTTAAAATAAAATCCTCCCTTTGCATGCTTTCAATAATGCATATAGTGTACGAGGAAGACAGTTTCCAAGCGCCCATTTCAACAGTCCAATCACACAGAAATCGATAGGCGCTGTATCCGGCAACTTGACCAGTATATCTTAGAATGGATTAGCATGCATTTCTTTCCTCAACTGCTTGAAGGATGCAATGGTTGAATGGATATGTCGTGGAAGCAGCTTGTGTAGACTTAACTTGTGTTGCTTTTGTAGACGGAAATGCTTCGCTACTATGTTGCATACTGTTGGCTGAGACAATTGGATTATTTTAGCAACTAAACTTTGTGTTCGTGGATAGTCACTTGATAAAAGACACTGCATTTTGTTTACCATAGCTGAAAAGACTTATTACGGGTCTTTTTCTTCATGGTCCTGATTCCACAAGTTGATCCACATTCCTTTATTTTCCAATCCCATTAAGAACAAGGAACATTTCACGCTTGGAGAATCTAAATCCACGATCTGAATACATTTTTATGATCTGAGTGTATGAATATTTTGAATTTGAAAGAGCTATTACATACTCTTCCCAAAAGTGATCAGTTTCTGGAGGAATCGCATTACCTATCAAACGCCAAACAACATTAAAATGTAGTCACTGCTCAATATCAAAGGGATATCAAAAGATAAAACTTATCTGAAATATTTCCACTGCTAAATGTTCTAGTCACAACGAGAAAGTAAAATATGGGCAGTAGTGACTTTTGTGTTACACTTTTCACGCATTTGTGGTCAGAGTCTTGTACAAGAAAATGATGTACAAAAACGCTATGGCTAATTTTGATCCTTCGTCACTATATCTGCACAAATTAGATGGCCAATCTTCAATGACAGTTTTGATCTGGAAAACATTTACCATTAGTGTGCATATTTGAAATCCAAAATAAATGAGCAAAGGTTCAATGTCGCCGGTGGAGGTTAATTTGCTGTGGTATCAAACATCTCATTTTCTTGGATGCCAAGGTTACCAGAAATCTAGAGGGAGTAGATGGTTACAGATAAATGAAACTGAAAAGAAATTTACAAGTATCCAAGTGAAAATGATAAACACAGATATTAAAAAATTCGAGGAGTTACAAAGAGATAAGCAACTTAGTATAAATCATACAGTTAGTATACTGCTTAGATGCGGTTATTTGCTGTGGTATCAAACATCTCATTTTCTTGGATGCCAAGGTTACCAGAAATCTAGAGGGAGTAGATGGTTACAGATAAATGAAACTGAAAAGAAATTTACAAGTATCCAAGTGAAAATGATAAACACAGATATTAAAAAATTCGAGGAGTTACAAAGAGATAAGCAACTTAGTATAAATCATACAGTTAGTATACTGCTTAGATGCGGCTTGAGCCAGGGTAAATGAGATTATATACATCTAAGCACTAAACATAAAATATGTAGAAGGGATCATATGAGTAATGGCAGAGTTGTTGTGAACAAAACATGTTTTAAATCACAAGTGTAGCCTGTTTTCAAGCATCCATAAAGATTAAACCAGAAGATTAGCTTTTGAGGTGTTCATAGATCCGTATTCAGTATTTCCAAGTTGAATAAATCAAATGCATTGATATATCACAGTGATAAGTTGTAACAAGCCATGAAGAGATATTCTAATCATCATATTTAGTAACAGTATCCAATGTTAAGTCCATCTAATGCAACTATGCTTAAATACAAAGACCAGAGAGAGGGCAATAGACCTTATTTGTATATAGCTTGGCCTACTAAGGCAGGTGGGATGATCTGGCAGATATGTTAATTTTGCAACATGTGAATGTGAAGACTCTAAACATAAGTTATGGGCTGGAGAAATATGGAAAGTATCTAGTCAGAGCTGAAGCCCCTGATGATGCATAACATTCAGCATCCTCAGTGCATATCCTTGGCTGTAGGAGAAAATTGCTGTGTTATAGTATTTGCTAAAATGTATGACACACAAGACATAAACATGAGACACTCGGAGCTCCGATGTAAATGATTAAGATAGTGATGACTCCGCATACATGGACTTGGATATGTCCTGTTTGCTAAAACATTATAAAGACAAATGGACATATCTGTCTGCAAAAATCACACAAGGTGTTGTAGTTATTAAATCAAATGATTATTAGTTGTACTCTCAAAAACCTTACACACACAACCTCTCAAAACAATGGGTCTATAACTAGAGGAAATATTGGGATCCTTCTTGGGTTTTAAATCTTTCTGGACTATCTGGGAATAACCGATATTCTCCGTTCTTTCATTTCTAACAGTGAATATAGATAACCAAGTTGTATGCAATTACTTGAGAAAAACTGTATATGGTGAACAAAATCTTAAAATTTAATTTAATATTTATATGATTTCTTTTAAGATGCTCACTAATATAATTATGTTTGTTACTCTATTTTGTCTACTGTAGCATTCGACTTCCCGCTGTAAGTCATACAAACATAAGTACCGAAACAGATTTGTCAGTGAAAAATTGAACCCAGATAACGTCACTCTTCTTTTTTATAGGCATCATATATTTGTCAACAATGTTTTTGTTGTAAATCAATTTATATGTAGTCTTTATCGTTTGCTTTCAATACACAAAAGCATATTGTATATGTGTCAGTTGTTCGAATTCAATAAACTTAACAGCAAATTCAATGAAAAAAGGATCTATGTTATACAAGTAGTATGCTGCTGTAGGCTTTAGCTTATTATACTTGTTTAACTCAAACACCCTTACCTGATATCTTGTCATATAAGAATAACTCTGAAGCTTTCAAACGTACGTAGTATAAGAGAAAACATTATAATGTTCAAAGTTCTCAAGATCTTCACCGGCGGTACTATAAATATGAGTTAACCTAATCAAAACACAGTTGAACAAATATAAGATGAAGAAACATACAATTAACGTCACAGTAACAGAAAATATTTAAAGTTTATTGGAATAGCAAAATATAAGCTCGGGAGCAGTAGAAACGTAAAATAAAATCTAGAAATACAAAATCTAAAGTTTAGACACATACAGATGCGAATAAAATGAAAGAGTGAACATATTTTGATTTTGCGTTCATGTAATAAATTAGATAAACATTATATAGCGCTAATCTATTAAGTCTACTAAATTTATGAGTAAACAAACTGTTTAATATAAATATAAATCTTTTTTGCAATATTAAAATTGAGTTCTGAGTGTGCATTAAATGTAACTTCAACTATATAACAATAGCCTATCACCATACCTCTGAAATTGTCGCCTTCCAGATCCAGTTCAAAAGAAGCAGAAGATGATTCGGAGTGCTAAGAGAGAAAGAAAGCAGGCACAGCATTTCGTAATGGGTATCATTTAAACTGATGCTTGTATTGCTAGATTGATACACAGCTATTTTGAGATCCATTATGGTGAAAGGCCTGATATAATCCAAAAGATAATAAGACCAATAGGAAAAATTAATTTTTAAGCCATTTTACTACAGTCAAGAAATTAGGGAATAGGTGGAGGCACCAGAATAATGTGAAGAACACTCTCCAGATGTAGCTTTGTGCGAAATTCAAACAACTCAAACTCTCCAGAGTGTTAGAAGCAGCCTGTAAATTATCCACTTTTTATCCATTAAACTGCATGATTGAATGGAGAATGGTTATGTATATTTTTATTCCTCCTCCAAATCTTGCTCTAGATGATTTCCAAATGGCAGTGAATAATTATGGAAATGAGCTTGATCCAAAATTATTTTTGACTACCTGATCTATTGAGATTATGCCCCTACTTTCTGGAAAGGAGGAAAGTTAGTATAAGTAGGTATTTTAGGAAAAAATGAGGTATAGTGTGGAAATCTTTCCAAGTCTTTGAGATGGGCATATAGCTAGCTGAACAATGTGATCTGTCACTGCCTTGAAATACCCATAAACAAATATAAAGCTAATTACAGTGGGATTAGGAGATCCAGTCGGTCTTCTCCAGCTTTTTTTGAAGCACATAATTCTCAGAATTATAGGAAAGTTATCATTGCTATGTGAATTGTTGATCCATGGTAGAAAATGTCACACTGAGGGTATGAAAATAATAGTATAATGTCATCAGTGTTAAAGAGAGAGTTCGTGATCTCAGAAGTACTTCTTTAATCTTTTCCTTTTATTTGTATTAGTGCATTCCCAGAATTGATAATATCCATTAAAAAACACCCAGAATAACAAAGAAGATGGCAGTTGAATTGCATATAAGCATAGCCTAAATACTATCACATACATGTGTATACACACAAATATATATACCGGTTCATAGCCTACCCTGGTTACAAACAAAGAGTGAAAAGTTTTATATCACAGCATATGGAGAGAAATACTTATCAACGGTCTCTAGTGATGGAGAGAATATGGTGGCTCACAAGAAAAGTCCCTCTACTATAGACACGTTCATCACACAGTCTGTCCTTCGTCAGCGCAAACTGTCCTAAATAATTAGTATCATCAATTTTAATGAACGGCCTTCATAAACAAACACAGGTGAGATGGTAAAAATCCATAAGAGTTTTGATATCATCTGGAATAGAATAAAACCTTAATAGTTCCATTGAATAAATGTGGCCATTATAACTTA